GTGCTGAGACCAAAGTTGTTTTCCACTTTCCATGGGATGGCATCTCTGGATTTCAAAGCTTTTTGTTTAAGTGTGTTACTCTAGGAAACAGGAGAATCGGAAAAAAAAGGTGGAGGGGATGTTCCCATGTAGTTAAGGGCCTGTTTTTCCTCACTGGCTGTGGAGGGAAATGAGCTTCCTGCTTAAGGTGAGGTGTCATTTGCTGGATGGAAACCTTTGTGTCCCAGCTGGCTGGCTCTTTCTGGTGCCACTGCTCAGGTCAGGTCTCTTCCAGTGTGATCACTTTTGCCCCCAGGCCCTCTCCTTTCCTGGCACTGTGCTTCTGCCTTGCATCAATCCTGGTGCTCCTCAGATGAGTGCTAGGGTCAGCCCAAGGGAGGGGACGTGCCCATGTAGCTGCAAATGAGCTGGGAAAAGAGGAGTGCTCATTTTGGTGCAGAGAGTCCAGCTGTCCGTTCTCACCGCACCCTTGCTCCCCAGGCTGGAGCTGAGCAAGTCTCTGCTTGACGTTGTCATGCCCCTTTTCCCCCCTCTCTGCCTGGGATCACCCATCACCTTCCATGAGCTCTGAAAATGCAAGAACCCTTCAGATTTCTGGTCAGAGCCCTTTGTTGTTTTGAAAGGTAAAATAATCCAAGGCTCAAGCATCTAGAAGGATTTTGTTGCTCCACTGCTCCTGATTTCAGTGACAGCTAGTCCTGGTGTGGGACTAAACACACAGATACATTGATAGCCCCAGTCCCTTGAGGTAGCTGCATGGAGGTGGACTTCCCACCCAGAGAGAAAAACAATTCTCGGGTGTTACAGCATGTTTCCAAGCAAGCAAGGTGGGGCCTCACCTTTCAAAGCTCTATAAACAGCAGCTCTTTGTCTCCTCCATTTCTCTTCACCCTGAACTTGTTGCCGTTTTCAAAGGTTGGTTGCAAAGTGCTGATTCACAGCCACCAGCCTTTTTGTTTTATCTGAGGAGATTATGGCTGAGCATGTTGCGGTTTTGTAGTGAAAAGACTCCAGTGGAAATAGCAGCATATTTGACATGAGACTGTTATTTATGCTTAAATAACCATCTCATTTAAGCATGAGGAGTCTTTTTTTTTTTTTTTTTCTTTTCAAGTTTAGATCAATCATGTATGAAGACAAACTCCCACTCAGCCTCCTTTGGCCCTTAATACTTTCATTTAATTATTTTTCTGCTCATTATTTTATGATTTTGTCCTTGACTGGAACATTTCTCTCTTGTTCTTCCTTACATGCACCATCAAAGAGGGAAAGAACTTACATTTAAAGCTCAAGCTTAGTGTAGCTCTTAAGCCATAAATAATGTTTTATACAGATTCTAAGATTATTAAATCCTTCTAGTTAGCCTCCCTCATACTTTTACAGCTCATCTGATTAGAGGAGACATATTATTTTGAAACTTGTCTTAACTATTTCTGTTTTGCTTTTGTAAGCAGACATGAGAAGACAGGATCTGGCTGTATGCATTGCTGATCAGAAGAGTTGCCATAGGAATGCAAAAAAGCTTGACTGCAAGAGAACTGATTTTTGGCATGGGAAAAAGCTCTAGAGAAGCCCTGTAATTCTGATGTAGTTAACTTTCTAAATACAGGCAAGTATACAACAGAAATTGAAATCTGTCTATCTGGGGAGAGAAATGTATTCAGAACACACTTTTCTGGAGAGGACTGACAAGCATAGAATCAGTAATGTTTTTTAAAAATCATTTAAAAAAATACTTTGGTATGAGGAGATAGTTATTCTCAGGTAGTAACTGATTTTGGACAGCTGTAGGAACTAACCCATTGGGCCCTGTGCATCGCCCCCCCCCCCCCAACTACGTATCTGTCACCTTTTGATACCTGGGCCAGGATCCCCAGAGCCAGGCACATGAAGCTCAGCCTCTCCCTACAAATGCAGCCAAACCAGCTGCTGCAGGTTGCAGAGATACTGAGACTATAGCCCTGCTCAGCTCACAGTACCTTAGGGGTATGGCCAGTTAGTCAGGCTTTGCCAGTATTACAAACTATGGAGTTGAGCACATAGAAGAAAAATAACCCTATTACAGACAAAGCTAGTGAGAAGTGCTGAAAAGCCTCACAGTAGACAGCCTACACAATGAAACTATCTCCTCCAATCAGTCCATGGTCATCAAAGAGGCAAATGTCTCTGCCACCTGGGCCAGACAGGGTGGTGTTTTAATAATAGGCATAAATCTATTGTGCTTTTCTCCTCGTGACCTTGCATAGTCTGTCAGGACAATGCATACCTCAGAGAAGGAGTAGAATTTATGTGTACAATAAAACAATAGAGCTTCAGTGATATCAGCTGTTTGACAAACTTTAATATACATTTGCTATAAAATAGGCAGTGATTACCAGAATGTGATACCCAAATAAAATTCATGATCCATTTGCACGACAGATCTTCAATTTACTCACATTCATGTGAAAGAGACACATAAAAATTATATCCGTGCTTAAAATCACTTAGCAGCAGTCTGAAAGACCCCACAGTTGCAAGTGATACTGAAGTACTTAGCTAATACTCATGTTTCGATGGCTTTGCCTTCATGATTCTTCCAGTGGTTCCTTTATGTTTTCTGGTATTTTGCCAAACACCTGTGAATCAGTGCACAACAAATATTCCTGCCATTTAATTTAGCCTTGCACAAAAAAAGCTATATTAGGCCTGATGCAGACCTAATCCCAAACCTCTAAAGAGGTTTAAGGCACTCTGGTTTCACCTAATCCCGAAATCTAAACCAGAATCATTGAAAACCTCCATAACACCACAGGAATGGGCAAATAAAGGGTTTCCACTATGAAATTATTAAAAGGACACAGTGTATCTTTTGGATTTGAGACCTAAAGCTTTACCTAAGGAGCTTGGACTGTCCACAATAAAAGTGTTTATTTTGAAGATAGGAGGTTGAAAGGTTTATTTGACTAGAGGGCTGATTTCACCTCTCTCACCCAAAAAAAGAAGAGGGGTGATCCCCTAAAAGAGTCAAAATGGGAAAAGGGATGAACAAGTAACAAGGCTGGGGCAGCCCAGCAAAGCAGCTAAAGTAAATGAAGTGCAGGTTTCTGTTTAAAGCATCTGTCATGGCCCCCTGTGAGAATGAGCAAGAGCACAGCCCCTGGTGCACAACTGGGCTGTTGGTTCCCAAAATTCCTTGCAGCAAACTTGTAAGGAAAAAGTTATTTGTGATACAATGAATACATTGCTGCTGCTCAAAATGGAGAATCTGCTCTTTTGAGATTGCTTATTGATGGGAGATAACATGTAAAAATGCACACTGTAATGGAACTTTCAATTACATCCAACTGTATAATTTTGATCTTGCATTAATGCATGTTAAATTAATTGGATTCTGTCATTCCTGAATTCTGGTAACCACCTTATCTTGCCATATAACTCATTATCTTTGTGTTGTGAAAGGGGTATTTCATTTTCAAGGCGACTGTAGGGAATATTAACTGTACCATATTCTAATAAACATTTAGCTCCTAACAAATTAAAGACCTGAAAGTATACTGCACATGTGGTTTCATTATGCATAGCATTTTATAGCAATGATCTGCTCTAAATATCTTAATTCAAATCATTTCAGCAAAACATGTAGGGAAATGGTGGACAATATTTGTGCATTATACAATACTGAAGGTATTTATCTGTGCTTAGGACATTACTAATAATGAGAGGCACAGCCTCCTCAGTGTACTGCATTTTCATAACCATTGAGTGCTGCTTAAGAGACCTTTAGAACAAGGATTTAAGAATAGGTGTTCCTACTGATGAGAGGTTTGATGTCATTTGAGTAGAAAAGCAAGCTCCAGATTTACCATCATGAACTCTCATAAAAATCTCCATGCCTTTACATCAGAAGTGGAACAGAATAGCATTTATTTAAGAGCACTTTGGTACTCCAGCTGTAATTTACCTTTGAAAGACTGGCTCTCTAGACAAAAATAGCAGGAAAACTGAAAAGCATTTGTTCTACGAAGTGCCAGTCTTTCTACCTGGAATTACAGCAGTATAGCCTTCTGAGAAACTATGTAAATGACAAAGCTTTTATCGCCTAGCCAGGTGACACAAACAAGTGATTGTTTATTTGCTTTCCTTGAGCAAATCTTGGTGTAGCTGGAAAGCAACAGGGGGCTCTTAAGGTAGAAGACTGTGCCTTTCTGTGGTGCTGTCCTGTGTACATGTACACTGAGCTTGCCATCACCCGTCTGAGGAGAGTGTATGGCTATGTTAGCAGGGTATAATGCCAATTTCACATAGCAGTTTTGTTCCAGTAGCAACAATACATGCTGTGTTAACTGTTGCCTGATGTAGTCCAATTATGACACCTAACCATAAACTTCCATTTGGAACCACTCCCTAAAGAAGCTCTCTTGCAGGACAGCATCTGGAAAACTAAGTGTGACTATGTCGCACAGAGACTCGGGTCTGTTTATCCCCAAACAAATCCAGATCGACGGCGGTTGCCGGAAGAGGCAGATGAATTCGGCAACATGATAACCCCGCGCTCAGCAGAGCTCCTGCAAATGAACGCTGCACAAGCAGAGCAGAGGAGGCCCTGAGACACTGCCTGCCGTGCCCCACCGGTCACGGTTCGGATGGGGCGCCCCGCAAGTCGCTCACGGCCTCGTTGCGCGCCCGACTGCAGCGCCAGCCTGAGGGCAGCGCCCAGCCGCGGCTCCCGGCGGGTTCGAGCACTCCTCCTCCGCTCCGCTCCGCCAGGCCCGGCGCTCCCCGCGTCCTGCTGCCCGGGCCCGGCCCTACGGAGCAATGACACGTTTCACCGCCCGGGTTACGGAGCGGGTGGGGGCGAGAGCGGCCGGGCGTGAAGCCCCGCGCTGCCTCCCTCACCGTCCGGGCCGCACCCCACCGTGCGGAACTGGGGCCCGCCGGGCGCCGACAGCGCATGCGCGCCCACCTGCTTTCTCCCCTCTCCCTCCTCCCCCCCCCCTCCCCGGCTCCGTGACGTCAGGAGCGGTCCGCAGGCACCCAGCTCGGTGCTCCTCTGCGCCCGCCTGGTTCGCGGGAAGCAGCCTTAGGTACAGCGGAGGATCGCCGAATCATCGCTGCCTTCTCCCACACCCTCCGCCCTCGGCGGAGCAGCGCTCGGTGAGAGCGGGAGGGGGTCGGGGGGGGGGCCGCCCTGCACCGCCGCGGGAGACTCCCGGCCCGGCCGCTAGAGACGCGCTGGGAAGACGCGCCCGTCACCGGCGCCGCGAGGGGGGAGTGGGGGCTGTGCGCCTGCGCGGGGGCGTCGCCACGGCAACGGCGGGGCGGCGCTGCGCCTCGGGCAGCCGCGTGCCTGCCGCGCGCAGGTGGGACCGTTACCCGCCACCCGCCTCGCGCCTCCTCACACGGGCGGCAGCGGCCGGCGTCGCCCCGGGCGGGCTCGTCCAGGGCCCCCGAGCCCGTTACTGACACTGGGAGCGGCGCACGGAGCTTGTCCCGGCCCGGGGAGCGAGCAGGGGTGGGAAGACACCCAGGACGGGACGAGCGCTCGAGGGAGCTGTAGCGTCTGTGGCTGACGTGAGGCCTCTGCTAGAGAAAAGTAATATTTTGATCAGAGTCCGCATCTGCCTCATTGTGGTGAGGCTCTTTGCAAGGTCTCTATGGCAGCTGTAGTGCTAATGCCTTGTGCTTTGAGTTCAGAATACATCCGATCAAATATTTAATATCAGTGAGCCATAAATACCAAACCTAGTTGTAATGGAGCTTGCAGTTCTAATGTATTGAATTTTACAACTCTTCCATAATAATCCCAGTGCTTTGCTTTTACGACCAACAGAAGTGAGTGTTTTTAAGGTATTTAAAAGTGAGCAATGGTGGACGAGCTTACATGAACACTGCTTGAGCAGATCAAGGTGAGGCAGGGAACTGCATCTGCTGAATATTGAACCTGCTTCTGCCCGTGGAACGCACAGACCCGGGTGGGTTGGGACCTACTCTGTGTCTTCCCCCCACCATCTGCAAAATGGTAACAGCAGTCCTCAGGAAGACTTGTTGATGAGTAACCTTTTAAGCTTTTTAATACCCCTCAGTTGAAGGCATTTACAAAAGTAAAACACAGTACTGTTAGCAATGTATACAATATAGTACTATGAAAAAATAACTTTGTATTTATCAACTGGATAAAGCTCTGATCAACCTGGGCTGGTCTCATAGCTGAGCCTGCTTTGAGCTGGAGATCAGTCTGCAGACCTCCTGAAGGTTCCTTTCATCCAGAGTGTTTGTGTGGCTGTATAATTAATGCACCATAATTTCATAATGAAAACTTATATTCAGATACAGCCTACAGAAGTCCATAAAACTAGCCTCATTGCAACAGATTGACTCGAATCCCTAGGTGTTTACTTTGATTGGTATCAGAAAATGAAGGGAATCTTGCCTTAATTTTTCACGGATTGATTCATTGAAGGGGAAAGGAAGAGATCAGTGCTGCTCGTTTGCCTTCGCACAGTCCATAACCTGGGTGTGCGGCTCCTCAGGGATGGAGCGGCAGCACGGGCGCTTTCGGTTTTCGGGTGACGGGGGTTTAATTGCTTTTGCTCCCTCTACTGGCAGCCTGACTCGGCAGCAAAGCGTTGCACGGTTAGCAAGTATGTGAGACGTAGTCTATGTTACAGATACTCTCAGCATGGGCGCTTTGTTTGCTATGTAGCATTTCATGGGCCTAGCTGGTATTCTGGATGTAATCCTGCAGTGTTTGGATGATGTCTGCATACTGATATCTGACATTTGGATTCTTTTATTGTATATTTTTCTTCTCAGTAGTACTGGTTGTTTGAAATTAAGAAAATAACTTGTACGGCTCCTTTATATGCCACTTTACAGTAGAAAATAATCTACTGTCCAGATTCAGTAGCTTAATTTTGAAATGAACGAGGTAAAAACCAGGCATGGTGTGTGCTCTGGAAAAAACAGAGGACACAAGAGATGGAAATCTGTGTGTAACTTTTACTCTTTCTCTGAGAATCGTTTTGAAGAGCACTTCTCCATGCTTTTTAGCAGTCTCCTTGTGACCTGTCATTCTTTCAAAGCTCCTTCCACCAACCCCCAATTTTAGTAGCATTTTTGTGAGACTTTTAGAAGCGACTCTGTGACTGGGAAGTGTTTCATTAATAATTTGTCCTGTCTGAATAAATTACATGGAGCATAAAGGACATTTTATTTATTTTGAATTAAATTACTACATTTTAAAGAAATTACTGGAGTAACTTCTTGTTTTTAAATGATTCCTATTAGCATTTTTATTGATTTACAGGTAGACTATTTTTTTCTTGTTAAAATATCCTGTGATCAGAAAATCCAACTGTTTGTTCTGGCTTGGCTGCATCATTATCAGTTATAAAGATTCTGCAAATGGAAATTATGTTGATGCATCTACTGGAATAGATGCTAGTTTCTAATATCAGGTAGTCTGGTTTTGGTTAATTGGTGTAGAGACTTACTTTTAAGCATTAGAATGACAGTGTTAGAATCATAATGTATTAGGGAGCAGATCTGTTGGTTAAGTTCTGATCTTGTTGACCATTTTAGAGTACTGTGTCTTTTTGCAAAGAAATGCTAAGCTACTGACCCGTGTATGTTCTTACATTCTAAAAAGACAATTTTTTTGTCTCTCTATCATGTAGTACATTAGGCTATATTACGTTTTGTGATTGCATACCTTTTATTTTTAATTTGAGTACTATTTATCTTCAAGCTCAGCCATAAAAATGTACTGTTTCATTGGAACTGTAAGAACTATAAACCAGCCAGTGCTAATTAGCTTATATGGGAGATTTAATGCTGAAGATTCTGGTTTTCCAAAATTATATTGTATGAAGCACTATCTTCACTAGGAGAATAGCTACTACGACTACTATTCTGTAATAAATTATTTTGTTGTAGCTACATTGGATTATAGATGTATGTCAGTGACATTTCTGGAATTGTGAAGACAAACTTAGTAATGATTAAAAAAAAGGTTGAACTTTCCTTTTTGGACACCTTTTCTGAGTTGTAATGCTGATGCATTACTTTTGTAAAAACTTGAAACCTCAGCACAGTATTACGTGTTTGTGTGTATGTCTTTATACAGGAAAAAAAGGTAAGTTTAGTAGCAGTAATAGTGTTTTGATCCCCAAAATATCTGTGTGGATAGATTTATGCTTTCTTTGTAAGACTGGTGTTTGACTGCACTAGAATATACTTGGTAGTACAAATGAAGGATTTCAAATTAGTAATAGCTTGAAAACTACTTTAGCTACAGTTTGTTTTGCTGCTTTTTTTTTTCCAAACTATTGGTCTCTGTGGAGCAGTAAAAGTGATCACAAAGCAACGAGAAAGAAATAAATCTACAAAAAAACCTGCACAATTTTTGCCCAAGCAAGCCAGCTTCCTTTTGAGCTCAGTGCTGGCACAGTTGTACGATAAAAAGTGGATTTTTTTGCTGTTCATAGGCAATGCAGATAACTTCACAACTGTAATGAATTCATTTCCTATGGTACATTTTAATTGTATGCAGCTAATGATGGCATAGCTCATCATTTCAAAAATTGTTTCAGTGGCATTCATGATGGTGTAAATGCTCATATGTTACAAGATTATTTGAAGGAACTGGAACTTTGAGACATGTCAGGTCTGTCATGTTGAGAAGAGTAACTCATTAAACAATAGGTGCTAGTTATCAGGAGTAAATTGTAGAGCACGTTTAGGGTACAAATATCAGAGTCAACAGATTTACCTAAAAAAAGAGGTATTACTTGATGTAATTTTAAAAGGCATATGTTAGCCTTGAAAGTTTTCAGACCACTAAACTAGAGAATCCAGGCTACGTCATGATTCAGAAGCATTTAAAATATGAATCAGTCTCTTCTGCATCTCAGAAGTGAAAGTTATAGGGGAAACCACCTTTTCTATAAATGGATTTACCAGCACAGGTCTTTAGAATTGTAATATCATGCTGTAAGCGAAATAGGAGTCTTAGGAGCAAAAAAACTTTTAGTCAGCAAATTTTCTCTTTCATGATTTATTTTTAAAGGTCAAAAGGTGACCGTTATAGTAAAAAAATAGTAATTTGTACAGGAAAACCTTCCCAGATGAGATGCAACCCTGTCCTAAACCTCTGAGTTTGCAGCCTAAGTTTTCCAGAGCTGCTGGGCGTAAGGTAAAGCTGAGCAAAGACTATTTGAAAAGAAACGTAGACTAATGCTTAGATATATATGTATTTTTTAATTATTCCATAGTTTTTCAGTAGATGATAAATTTCTTTGATTTGGAGGAGGAAAAGATTCTGCTTTAAAACATACCAGATAGGAATCTTAGGACAGACTTTTTGCACTCAGACAGCTGGAGCAGCTCTAGATTCCCTGCTGAAATAAAAATGCTACAGTTCAAGATTTAGAAAGGTAAAAAGTGTGACCAGAGCATTAAATAGAAGGGCCATATGATACCAAAATTAAGCTCTGTGTTTATTATAAAGAAAATCCTAGTTGTAGAAGGGAAAAAAATGAACTTGTTCCACCACTTTCTTTTTTCCTCAGGAGAAAACACAGAATATATCCTAGGTAATAAATCTGTTTTATGGCTCACATGAGAAAGGGTGGAGAAACTCCCATTATTTTCTTCCCAGAAATTGTAATACACATGAGCTAACATGGGAGACACTGGGGTTTTCATCCAACAAATGCACAGCTGGCTTCTGCTTTTATTATTTTTCTAAGCCTAATAATTTTTCATTTGATTAGCTGGTGGCTGACAAAACTATCACTTGCTCAGTGTTTTGTATATTTAGTAGAGTAGGTGTGATGCGAAAAAGATATTGTAATATGTACCCAGAAGCATAGCTGAACTTGTTCCGTTGGTGAGAAACTTCTACTTGCCTCTCCTTAAAATGCAAGTTTCTATCATCAGGATTTGAGTTTAGATATCAAGAAAGTAACTTCCTGAGAACTAGAAACAGAATTGTGTAAGCATTTGAGGATTATTTTTTTTTTTAATTCACATGTAGAATTGCATGAAGCTATATGCATATAAATAAATTGTCAGGAATCAGTTGGCTGTTTACAGTGCTTTTTTTTTCCATGAGAAAGTGGTGAGACTATTTGAGGGGAAAAAAAGTCCTAGTT